ACACATCAAGTGCCCACTCCCACTTTTGCGCAATTTTCATATTTTCATATTGTCATTTACACTTGGAAACTTGGGTAAGCACCCACCCCTAAAAAATCCTGATTTTCTGAGTTGGAACCCTGGGCACTAACGTGGTCGAGTATGGGATATCCTTTCTATAAATACTAATCAGTAGCATATGCACGTATATAAATGATACTAATAAGTATATTATTTTATTGAAGGAACATCTTATTAATCACAGAGTCAAATGGAAAGGATCTGGAGATGGTACATCATAAAAAATGGGCAGTTATATATACTGGTATAAACAGCAAGTGAAAAATTCAAGTTGTCTTGTATGGGATATACCGGTACCTGCAAAACCTTTCCATTTGACTATCGATATGTACAATTTGGTTTTGCTTCAACTGTTCAACCAGCAGCATAAATTGAAAACAGACAAACAGAGACATAGTCTGATAAATAAAACCCAAACTATAAATCCCTTTTTCTCCACTACAAGAGTTTAATATTCTATTTATTTGAAACACTGGAACAAAAGAAATCTTTGTGTATACTTACAGATTGATATGGGTCTTCTGGAGGTGAATTTATAATAAGTAAAGGTTTCTGTATTGATTTGAAATATGATCCTGTGACTTCAATCATGCGACCCCCACTGAAATTAAATTTGACAAGTCATTGAAAATACAGTTCCTATTGGTACTTTTTAAATTGACAGACATCTTGAAGACAAGAGTGACATATGTGTGAAATACTACAGTCATAAAGCTATTAAAATATATAGAATATATATATGATTAAACATAATTTTAACAAAAGCTGTCAATGTATGTATACTAGTATATCTAGAAATGGTTATTGATTAAAGACAAAAATAAAACAAGCAGCCTCTCAGCTGAGATATCTCTGCTGCTAGCAATGCACATTTTAATTAGAGAATTGAAGATATCATAGCGAAATGAACAAATCTGTGAAAGGTCTATCAGAGGTACCGGTACCAATATGTTTAGTATTGCGATTTTCAACAAGAAGTCAAAAATATCACTTTTTACCAAAAATGACAAAAATATTCATCAAAATTAGAGAATGGACATATCCAATGAACAAATTTGAGAGAGATCTACCTGTCGTATCTATATTGAAATATCAAAGCAATCGATTTTCAACAAGAAGATTAAGCTTTCACTTTTCATCAAAAAATTACAAAAATATTTACCAAAATTAAATCATTAAAGACAATCACTAATATGATAAGCTCTGCTCGACAAAGCCAACAGTGGAGCTAAAAACGAAATCTGCTAAAGTGTACCCAAGAGAGGGGCAGATCATTTGTAAATTGAGAAATAAATGACTGGCATCATGAAATCTGCTTAGGTATGAGAAATGGTTATTTGAGGCATAACAAGCAGCCTCTTGGCTGAGACAGCTCCGCTGCTAGCAATGCATATTTCAATTAAAGAACAGAAGATATCATTAGAAAATTAACAATATGTATAGTATCAAAACAACCAAAATGAACAAATCTGAGAGAGGTCCACATGTATTACCTATATATGTAATATCAAAGCAATTGGACTTGCGGTTTTCAACAAGAAGTTGTAAATATCACTTTTTACCAAAAATTACAAAAATACATGTATTCATCAAAATTAGAGAATTGAAGATATCATCATGAAATGAACAAATCTGAGTTAGAACCACATGTAGTACCTATATATGTAATATCAAAGCAATTGGACTTGCGGATTTCAACAAGAAATCGAAAATATCACTTTCTACCAAAAATGACAAAAATATTCACCAAAATTAGAGAATTAAAGATATCATTACAAAATGAACAAATCTGAGAGAGGTCCACATGTAGTACCTATATATGTAATATCAAAGCAATTGGACTTGCAGTTTTCAACAAGAAGTCGAAAATATCACTTTTTACCAAAAATGACAAAAATAGTCACCAAAATTAGAGAATTAAAGATATCATTACAAAATGAACAAGTCTGAGAGAGGTCCACATGTAGTACCTATATATGTAATATCAAAGCAATTGGACTTGCGGTTTTCAACAAGAAGGTGTAAATATCACTTTTTACCAAAAATTACAAAAATATTCATCAAAATTAGAGAATTGAAAATATCATTATGAAATGAACAAATCTGAGAGAGGTTCACATGTAGTACCTATATATGTAATATCAAAGCAATTGGACTTGCAGTTTTCAACAAGAAGTCGAAAATATCACTTTTTACCAAAAATGACAAAAATAGTCACCAAAATTAGAGAATTAAAGATATCATTACAAAATGAACAAGTCTGAGAGAGGTCCACATGTAGTACCTATATATATAATATCAAAGCAATTGGACTTGCGGTTT